TTCTCATGTTAAACTCAGATAAAACTGAAGTTCTAGGGCCAAAGCACCTCCGTGACGCATTATCTAAAGATATAGTTTCCCTGGATGGCATCGCCCTGGCCTCCAGTCAGGAATGTCAGGAATCTTGCAGTTATCAGGACATGTAGTTTGCATCTCACATTAAGCAAATTTGAAGGACTGCCTTTTTTCACCTACGTAATATTGCAAAAATCTGGAATATCTTGTCTGAAGATGATGCAGAAAAACTAGTCCATGCATTTGTTACTGAGCTCCTCTCTCTTTCTCCTTCTCTCCCTCTGTATGCAACCTCATCCCATTATTGCAGGTTACTAACTCGACATCTTCCCTTTCCCGTAGTCTTGTGCTTTCTCGTCCCTCTCCTCTCTCCTCCTATCAATTTCTGCAGGTGTTTCTTGATCTGGAGCTGGGGAGTCCGGATCTGTGGTTGCGAGTCACCTGCTGTCAACCCCATGTTCCTGCTCTGCTCTTACAACTAGTCCAGTTTTTATTATTTTTGTTATCATTATAATTAACATTACTATAAATATCTGTACCATTAGTCGTTTTCAGTTTGTACCAACATTACCTTTACAGTCCGTATTTCTGGTGGATCTGGTAGGATGCTCCCCCCTACCCCCAAGCCCTCTCTCCCTCTTTATTGCTACCTCTCTTACAGCGTAAATCGCTTCGGCAAGAGCCTGGTCGCTTTCGCCTCGCCTCGTCTTCTCAAAAATGTCCCTTTGACCCGTCATTGCCGAGGGCCGTGCGCCGTAGGCTTCGGAGGCAGCTGTGACATCTAACTGCAGGATGAGAGGCCAGTACACCACAGACCCCTCTCAGAAGTTATTCCACACTGTTCGTCATCATGCATCTTTGTAACTTGTCAATACGAGCGCCATGGCATTGAACATAATGAGCCCAAAGCTCTGTGTGCAGTAGAGATGTGTTCATGTGTTTTGTACTATACTTTCTTGTTGGGAAAGGAGGGATGGTCATTTCTTTCATTGCTGCTGGTTGTTTCTCAGACATCTTGTTTGCAAGTTCTGAAGCCAAGCTGAAGATATTAAACTTGACTGAGACAGATGCTCGAGTGGGCTACACACAAACATTAGTTTAAAGAAAAGATCAAATTCAGGAGGCCAGAGGGAGTCTGTGAGTTGTGGATTTAATTCACAGGTTCAGCAAAAAGGTGCATGTCAGGGCCAAGGTCACACCACACGGGCCGCAGTTTGCAGATGGGCGCCGGTCCTCAAAGGAGCCTTTCATCTCCTGGGTGACGTTGCGAGTAATGCAGATGATACATTTCTATTACCCACATCTCTTTAAAGGAATAGTTTTTGGAAACACCGTTTCTCTCTGGGAGATGAGAAGATTGGTCTGGAGTCAGGTCGTGGTTAGCTTAGCATAAAGACTGGAAGCAGGGGGAAACGCCTCTGTCCAAAGTTCATAAATAAAGAGCAGCTGTACCTTTCGTCCTGTGTGTTCTGTCGATTATTTGTTCATAACTGATGTCTTCTATTCCTCTAACTAGTAGACTGCAGCTGGATCACTCTCTGGAAAATAAAACAAATACAAATTACATTACTGCAGGTACTGTAGCTGATACTGTTAGTATATTTACAGCTGTTTGCACTGCTACTAGTACTGCAACACATGTAATAATTATACTGCTGTAGAAACATTTTTCATGTATAACAAAATAATTATATAAAATACGTTTTATCATAACTTTTATAAATGCCAGCAGTGCGGTGAAAAGAAAGACCAAATATAAGTGGAAACTAAGTAGCTGGAAAAGGACGTTTGATGACCACAAAGCTGCTCGTTTCTATTAATGCAAGTTCACACATTTCAGCAGTAAACAGAATATAGACAAACACATCACCATCAGCTGTAGCAGAGCACACTATAGTGAGAAACCACACCAGTGTCACGCCTCAGTAAACTAGCATCAACAGGAGGAAGTTGCTGCTGTGGTTTAGATGAAGAGTGGAAAAAAAGATGCAGACGCAGAACCAAGTGTCTTCGGTACGCTGAGTCCGTCGTCTCTTTCATTTAAAATCATTTAAACACTTAATGTAGCTTTTATTTACTATAAGACAAAAAGATCAATGTTTTAACAGTGAAACAGCAGAATGTAAATCTGCATATTTATAATTAATTTCTTAATTAAAGTCCTGCAGTGAAACACAGAGACACGTACAGCGGAAGTGTTTTCAGACAAAGGAAACTGGACGACCACTTTAGCGTCTGTTAACAGATTCACCACAGGGCACATAACAGACCCACCTGCAACACACATCATCAACAACAAAAAACAGACTACAATCTGAAACTTTATGAAGTAAAAAAGATTAACCTTGAATCAGTTGCTGTTTGGAAACATTTCTGTCTGTTGTTGAAGGTGAGTGCAAGTGTCCAATATGTAATGTAGTTACATAAAATAGAAAAGTAAGACATTTTAGAATAAAACTCTAAAGCATCAAATGACCAAATGTCCATTGACCGATGACAGTTTTGTACTTCTGATCACTGCAGCTCACTGACATGATTTATTCTCTAGGCCTAAACATTTTGGAAGTTCAACATAGTCTACAATAATCCCCATAATTCATAATGTCCTCTCCAAAACATTTACCCAGTTTTTAAAAAAAATGTCTGCTTTTCTCAAAACGTCCTCATATTGAATATTTTTACACTTTCCAAAAAATTATACTTTATACAAATGTCTTCACATTTCAAAAGGTCTTCATATTTTAAAATGTGGTATGTCAACATGTCAGGACGTCACACAAACTACAAAATGAATGACTTTATTAAAGTGAAATCAAAATGTGAATGTAAATACTAAGAAACATGTAAAATGTTGGTGTCAGATAAATATGATGATGGATAAAATGTGACATGACATGGAACAGAAAAGAGGTATGTCAACAAATACTAGTACAACGTTTAAGTGAAAACAGTGTATAATACTACACATAATTTTATTAAGATTAAATGAACAAATCAATACTGGTGTTTGAGTAAAACCCACAACAGCACAACAGTTCCCACATTTTTTATGTACTGTATGTGAGGAGAATAAACAGAGACATGCAAATCTGCATATTTATAATTTATTATATTATTTTTTATTATCTGTCCTGCAGTGAAACATGTGCAGGCCCACGTCCAGCGCCTAATGTTGCTGTAAGCTTTGGTGACTAAAACATACAGAATTTCACCAAACATGTAATTTAATTTCTAACATAATTACTTTAACAACATTTATTTAACAGGAATATATTTAAAACTGAAACTTGGGATTTACACTCTGTCAGGCTAAACAAGACCTTGTTGGGGTTAAACTGAATCTGGAACGTAAAGACACTTTCATGTCTAACTTTCAACAACAACAAAAATGAATCATCTGTAACATGATAGTTAAAATAACCATGTAAATCACAAAGGTGGGTGAAGTTCTGCCTGTCAGACCTAATTCAGGGTATAAAGGTGCTGTAAGATGGTACACAGATGTTGCAGGGTAAAGTTCCTGAATACAACTGCAGAGATTAGATGTTTGACTTGCTGTAGCAGTCTCTCTGGCTTGGTCGTGTATTAAGACAAACAGCATCAGCTTCATAGCGGTGGGAAGCCAGTGAGGGATTGATCGCGGATGGATAGTAGTGGTAAGTGGGAAAGAACGGATCGGCCTTGTGGGATGATGCGGATGGGGGAGTTTAGGTGTTTAATGGAGCGAGAGAAATGGTTGCTTGGTAGGGGAGATGACGAAGAAATGTGAGCTTGGGAAGGAGGCTTGAAAGGGAGTGGATTAAATACCTTGGGGCTGCTCTAGTGCCCAACGTTGGGCTGACTGAGTAAAATAGCCCATTTCGAGAAATGCTCAAAGAAAGAAATCTGGGTGTGTGGGCAACGCCTGGGAAGTGCTGGTAATGGCAGACTGGGCCAAACACGCATAGGCCGGCTAGAAGGCTGGTGTTGGTGTCATGTGGGTGGGTTGCATGGTGCTTGGAATATGGGGATGAGGATGGGGCTATTGGTGCTTGGCATAGTGGTGCTGGGGGTGAAAGAGAGTTGAGTCTATGTAGTGGAGTCCTGGTGGTGATGCCGATGGCTGGTGCGGTGGATAGGGAAAGGAGAGGAAGGCGTTGTTCATTCTGTATGTACATATTTCTACATATTTATTTCAGCTGTATGGTTGTCTACATGTAGCACCTATCGCCAAAGCAGTCCTCGTATGTGTAAAACACTACTTTGCAATACGCTGCTTCTGATTCTGATCTGGGATAACCTCAATGTCTGGCTGGAAACCAAAGTGGAGCTGGCAGCTGAACTGTCTTCAGAGCGTATTTAAGGTATGGATAAAACATGGTCTGAGATATCAGTGCGGCCATAAACCTTGCTGGTAGGGTCATGGGGGTGGCAGGGTCTGGTGTTGACTATACGGGGCCCTCACGGAGGGGGGGACAGCGGAGATGCTGGCATGGAGAATGCCTATACGTGGGGTCCAGAGTCTTGCACTACGGCCCTGGGTGCCCCAATAGGTGCCCTGATTAAATTGCTGGAGGTGGAAGGTGGCATGCAGCCTGGGAAGCAAAAGGACGCAATATGTGAAATCAATGCCACTGAACCGCAGAGCCAATCCTATGATGGAGAGGCTGTCGTCGTACAGCAGTGAATTGTCGGAAGTGAATGAGGCGCAGGTGGTAGAATAAGTGAGTTTACATAACTCCATTAAATTATGCAAAAGGCCTACCCAGGGTGTTAAAAGGCGTCGCCAAAGGGCCTTGACCAAGCGTCTCTATGTGACGGATCGGGAGTGAGAACGAGTTGACTAAACTCACAGAGTAGATCACTCTTTTTTGAGAAACTTGCTCCAAATTTTTGGGCTGTGATAAACACAAAAACTCCATCCAGTATTCTTCTCTAGCAGATTTGTTTTGAGTTGGTCCATGATGGAAACAAAAAAGAGCAGCTGTACCTCTCGTCCTGTTTGATTTGATGTCTTTGATGGCTATTTGTCCATAACTGACGTCTCCTGTTCCTCTCACTGCTGAGTAGACTGCAGCTGGATCACTCTCTGGAAAACAAAACACATAGAGCTGATACCAGTATTGTTAGTATATGTACTACTACTAGTCATTATACCAAATGTATTCAGATTAGTTGTGCTCCTATTATAATTAACAATAATATGATTTTTTGCACAGAATAGGACATGAGACTATTGATCAATATGGTAGCAAATATCAGCATGTAACTGAAGTCCACCAATTAAACTGAAGTACAAAAGAGACCAAACACAAGCAAAGGGGATTTATCTGAATCGGAAACAACTACTACAGAGCTGCTGGCTTTGATTAAGATAAAATAACCACCGTAATAATAATCACCACAGGATGTAGGATTTTTCAGGACTTCACTCAAACTACAAAGTTAGTAACTTTATGAAAGTAAAATTCAAATGTGAGTCAAAATTTTGATTTAATTAAGATCCATTTTAAGTTGGTCGCACATGAATCTAAACACGAACAAAATGTGACAACACATGGAAGAGAAATTTGACAATTTACATTAAATAAACAGATGAATAACAGCATTTGAATAAAAAACAGACATAGACTTATAGAATTCTTTTATATCATTTCTTTATTTTTTATTTAAAATCCTGCAGTTAAATGCACTGATGTGTTTTTATCAGAAACAGGAAACTGGATGACCACAGAGCTTTTAGCGTCTGTTAGCGGATTCACCACCAGGCACAAAACAGACAGGGTCATACAAAAAGCACAACAAGCATTGTCCTCAATAAAAACCCCACCAGACTACAGTGTGAAACTTAATGGACTAAAATATATTGATTTTACATTTAATTTATTTTGATGAACATTCTTTCTACCATATCTTAATTTTATAAAAATGTCCTCACGTCACTTTCCAAAATGTCCTCTCAAGGTCTAAAACTCAACTTGGTCCTCACAAAGACATAAGAACCTTCCTGAAAAACACAATCAATAAAACATCATCACCTTTGCTGCGTCTGATTGGCTGCTGTAAGTGACGCGATATTTTGACATCACTGTATGTGATGTCATCTGTGATGTCATCATCCCCAGCTTCTACTTCAGCAGCTGAATGAACCAAAATGAGCAGAAATTTAAATCAATGAAGATCATGTGATTCGATCAAAAGCTCCACAGCTCACTAAATGGACCCTGTGGTGAGATTGTTTTATTAACAGCAGCAATGTGATTTATGAGAATCCAGATGGACGCCTGACTTAAAGAGACAGTTTGTAACTTGTTATTATTTGTACGTCCAGAAGTGTTAATAGAAATGTGTCAACAGTAAAATGTGACTTTAAATGTGAACTGCAGCACGTGGAGTCTGTGACTGACCTTTAGGTTTTATATGGAGGCATCGTCTCACCAGTAGAACCAGAAGAACCAGAAGAACCAGAAGAACCAGAACACAGAAAGTCAGAACAGCAGACAACAACACAGAGAGAGGAGGAGAGGAAGAACCAGGAGGAAGGGTGGTTGAGGAAGAGGAGGAGGAACCAGGAGGAGAGGAGGTGGAAGGAGGACTTGTAGTGGTGGGTTTCACTGAAATGAACAAGAAAATATAATTAAAGGCACAGATAATAAAATAAATGGACAATTTATTCAACAGCATGCTAACAGAAAGACACAGCAGTTAATTCATAATGTCAGTCTGTTTTAGAGTTAAAAAGATCACGTATCAAACGGTGGGTTGAACTCTGACAGATTTCATTCTTGTTTCTTTGTAGATTGCAAAGTTAGAAATGTTGTCACATCATGAATCATCTCTGCTGTCCTGAAACCTGCTGAACTCAATGTAGAAAACAAAACAAGGTCAGTTTGAGAATTATCTTTGAGCTCCTCACCTGTGACAGAGATCCAGCTGGATGGAGACTCTCCACGACCTCTGATGTCACACTTGTAGAGGCCTTCATCAGACTTGTTAACATGGTGGATGGTCATGTGACCTGTAGGCTCAGTCCTGATGAGGGAGCCATCTTTATAGAAACCAGCTGGGAGGTTGGAGGGAGGGGTCTCTGTTTTACAGTGCAGAGTGACATCATGTCCCTCCATCACAGGGAGGACAGGACTCTGCAGGATCACTGGTCCACCTCAACACAGAGACAAACTACAGCATTTCATCATTTACACACAGCTTCATCAACACTAACTCCACAGTCTGATCTTACCAGTAACAGTGATGTTGATGGTGTTACTGGTTGCTCCCTCTCTGGACTCACACCAGTAAACTCCACTGTCCAATGGGGCGAGGTAGCTGATGCAATAGGAAGAACCAGCTGATCTTCCCCAGCCAGCTCCACACTGAGTCCTGGTTCCTCTGGTTGTGTTCCTCCTCAGCGTCCATCCAGCAGAGCTGTCGTCCTCCTCACAGCTCAGAGAGACAGATTTCCTGATGAAAAACTGAGAGCTGCTGGGACTCACAGTCAGAGAGGCTGGGGAGAGAAAATGGCTAATTGGGCCCAATTTGGACTTTTTCACTTAGGGGTGTACTCACTTTTATTGCCAGCGGTTTAGACATTAATGGCTGTGATGTGATGTGTTATTGTGAGGGGACAGCAAATTTACACTGTTATACAAGCTGCACACTCACTACTTTACATTGTAGCACCATTACATTGGTCAAATACACACTATGCAGCAATTAATGCTAACAGCTTTTGACTGGCAGAGTTCACTCACCTCTGATGGCCCTGCAGCACAGCAGTGAGATTAGCACTGAAGAGAAACAAGATTTGAGATTTAACATAAAACCAGACCAGACCAAGAACTGGGAAACTTGTATTGCTCCCAAAACCTAAATTAATGTACTTTATAAAGCAGTAGCTCAAATCAAGCAATCTGATTGGTTCATAGTAGTGGTACAATGAACGTATACAACGGCTATGATGTTGAATTCCTTTGCACAGATCCGTATCACTCCGCAACAAAGTAACATTAGAAAGTAACGTTAGATTGCTGGCTGGCTGTAAACTAATGGAAAGGGAAACTCCAAAGGTAAACTTTGACCTCCTGCGAGGCCCTAACATGGAGGAGTGGCTTGAGCAGACTTTGCCAGAAAAAAACCCACCACGTTCCACCACATCCCAAAGGTGCTCTGTTGGATTGAGATCTGGTGACTGGGGAGGCCGTAGACTGTCATGTTCAAGAAACCAGTTTGTGACATGGTGCATTATCCTGCTGGAAGTAGCCATCAGAGGATGGTACACTGTGGTCATAAAGAGATGGACATGGTCAGCAACAACACTCAGGAAGGCTGTCGTGTTTAAACGATGCTCAGTTGGTACTAAGGGGCCCAAAATGTGCCAAGAAAATATCCCCCACACCATCACACCACCAGCAGCAGCCTGAACCTTTGATAAAGGGCAGGATGGATCCATGCTTTCATGTGACTGACAGGCGAGCCTGTCGACCCTGTCTGTCCTGTGTCATCTCTGGAGAAATACATCTTCCACCTTCCGCCTTCCGCCGGATGCACCGGCTTTTTATCTTCACCCAAAAAGAAATGCTGTCTGCGCTGTTGACGATGTTTAGTAAGTAAAATAACAGTTGGGCATTTGGTATGGTATGGTATGGTATGGTAAGAGTATGCAAGCAGGCAGGGACACGGCCTCTGCAGTACGACTATTCAAAAACTCTTAGATGCAGGTCTTGAAACGAGAGAGATTATGGCTGTTGGTTGACACAAATGCGAAGCCTCTTTCCAGAGCTACTGGCAACCGAAACTTGGGGACCGGAGAAAGTGGAGTAATATCCTCGCTGCAACACACACATCTCCACCTCAGAAAACATGCAGGCCAAGTACAAGTTACCAAAGTCAATTAGTGGCTGCTCAAAAAATGGCAACTTGCTAATAAATATAAATAAATAGTTCTAATCATTCTAGCCGTTGATGTATGTTTGGTGATGGTCTATTCTGCTTTAGCTCTATGAGATGCAGCAGGTCATTTAATTTCTGTAGCTTCATGTTGCACCAGCCACAGTGTCCATAGACTTTTTATTTATTGTCATTTTTATTCAATTGTTTTTCCTCTTTTCAGGTAAATTCTAAAATGATGCAAAATCGACTGATCACCACATTAGTCAGTTTGCTGCTTCTTAGTCTCTTAAGGCTCTAGTTTATTGCTGCTTTTCTCTGTGGTAATGAATAAAGTCTCATTGGCAAGCAATTTACAGTTATTTCAGTTTTGGCAGATTGTACTTACAGAGCAGAAAAGATATCCGACCCATTGCACCACCACTCAGTCAGTCCACTTAATCTCTCTTCCTTCCTCCTTGTAGGTGAGTGTAGTGACTGTGTAGAAGGTCATCTGGTTTTGCTTCTTCACTCAAGAGATCATCAAGACACACGGGGCCCTACATGCAGGAAATGACAGCGCTGCTGGCTTAACATGAAGGCGGGTTGATCTGAGATCACTAAGAGACAGATTCATTAGAAACAAGGCTGTAAAGTTCCTCAGTGGAGTTTCTCTCTGAAGATTTCACTTTTTAAAATGTAAAAAAGCATTTTGTAGAAGTTTAGATCAAACCTTCCTGGTTTTCTCTTACTTCTGTTTTGGCAGTGACACAGATGTCCTGCAGGAGTCAGTAATGAGTCACTGTGCAACTTAACGTTGGTTCATATCTGATCAGTCCTGTTTAACATTTATTGCATCTGCATTTGAACTGGAAAATGATGCAACATCAAGTCTCCCCTTTTATTACTTACTTAATTTTGCACAAAGATAAATGACGAGGGAAGAAAAACCTAATCAAACTCTGGTGTTAATGGTTTCAACTAACCAGAGTCCTCCTGGAACAGATGCGTGTATTTGCCTCTCCCGAGCAATGTCTTCCAGCTGCTCATATATGAGACATGTAACTCTACAGTGTTCTGGGTCAACCCCGAGATCTCCTGCCAGTTGATCGTGCACAGAAAACCTTTAAAGGAAGAAATACAGGAGGATCCTGATCAAATACCTGAACCACCTCAACTGCTCCTGTCAACATGAAGAAGCAAATGCTGTAGTCCAAGCTCTTCATCCTATGTCTAAGGCTGAGACAAGGAACCCTACGGAGGAAAGTAATTTCAGCTGCTTGTTTCTAATTTTTTCATTAACTACCCAAAGCTCCTCACCAAAGCTAATGAGGGTCTGATCGACTTGTAAGATCTCTGCTTTCCAGCTTAGCTGTCTCATCACCACCACATCACTGCTGACATCTCACCACGGTCAATTTCACGCTCCATTTTGCCCTCAACCCGAGATACTTGAACATGTCTCGTCTCTCTTCCTCCTCGCCCCCACCTGCACCTCTGTGCCAGCCTGAGAAGGTTTAACTTAGTGTTCTGACAAGAAGCGTTTCTTTGTGTAACATCATTTAGAGAAAATGCAGAAATATCTAAATGAAAAACCTAAAATTCAGTGAAAGCTTCACTGCATTGCCAGATGTACCACAAAGGGTTGACAACATTAGAATAAGGCTTTGTTCACAGTTCTGAATGTTTTTAATAAACCAGTCAAACAAATGTCAGAGTAAATATCCTGCAATTTGTACAGATAAAGATCCAAAAAACTAAAACCGGTTTTTATTAAATGTTTGAATTAGTCTAAAGGCCCTCTTCTCATATTGGTGCAGTTATGCTGGGGGATGCTGTCTCTACAGATGACCATGCAAGCTGGAAGTAACACATTATTGAATTAATTGGGTCAGTGTGTAAGTTTTATTGGCATCTAGCGATGATGTTGTGAATTGCAACCAACGCTTTAGTGAACTGTTTCCCTCCCCCTCTTTGTAAGCGTGTAGGATAGCTTCGCTGGCCAGCACAAGACGAAAGATGTCGTCTTCTGAGACAGGAGAGTGAGTCAAGAAATCAAGTCAAGGTTATTATCATTAATGAAAAAAACAAAACAAAATTAAAATTAAAATGAGACACCGCTGCATGTTAAGTTGCTGTCTCGCCACGACGTGAATGAATCAGTTTTTAATCAGTTTTTAATCGGAATTGGTGTCCTTGCTTTATTCATTAGGAGAGCCCGGGTCCAAGCGGCGTCTAGCCGCAGCGTAGCAGGTGCTAGGAAGGTTTTACTTTTTACAATCCGCAGTCACACCTGACTCCACCGGGCACTCACTACAATCCTCCCTCCTTTAAAACAATCTGCCTCTGAATGGAAACCTTTTCTAGAAAAGTCTAGTGCTGGTTTGAATAGACCTCTGCTCATTAACTTAGTCCACATAAAGTCTCTTAAGACTGGGGGACAATCTGCTGGGTCATTTGGTGGAGCAGCAACTGTTCCATTAGGGTCTGAGCTGCTTGTATCTGATGCTGGCTGTACATCTCTGGCTGTGCTCGTACTGGCTGAGGCTGGATTTCGTTTAGCTGTGCTTGTATTGGCTGATGATCCAGCATCAAATAACAATAGCCTACTTGCAAGATATCAATGTCATCAGCTGCATCAGGCCCATTCAACCTTACTCCCTAGGTTTCCTTTAAAACATTTACAAAGGTAAATACTCCTTAGCCAAAATACAGCGATGGACAATAACATTACATGAAATTACAATCCAACTACTTATCTGAACAAGGGAAACACATCACTTCTCTCTGTGATTATGTTCCACTGCCATCACCAGAACGCTCTCTGTGTGTTTGTCAGACTGGGCCAAACTAATATTTTAATGTTGAGGAGGAATCTGATAAAACAAGGACTCTTGGTTTGGAGCTTGCTGTTCTTTTTCCTCCTCTCCTTCTCCAATCGCTCAGCCAGCTGAGCCAGCACCTGGTCATGACGCCACCTGAATCTCCCATCTGTCAGGCTTGTTTTGCATGATGACAGGATGAGATTCAGGTTAGATGGCCTCCTGCACAATGGACAGCATGGGTTTTCCGTTAGTCTCCACCTTTGGAGGTTTGTTGGTGTAAATGGAGCAGAGCAGAAACTTTATCCAGTGCTCCTCCATGTCCTTCCATCCCAGAGATCTCCCTCGCACCCACCCAGTCCAGCTACCCTGCTGCCCAGATTTTCCTCTGCACCATTCCTCTCTGCTCCTTTCACTTTGCGTCCTTCCAACTTGCTCAGGTGATACAGCCAAGGCCCAGCCTTTCCTGCAGACAGCCACTTTCTCAAAGCCACTTTCTGTTGATTTTCCTTTCCAAAGCCTCTATCGTTGACAAGGGGACCTCATGCACAAGCAGTGGCCACAGGAGTCTCGTTCAGTTCTGTACCACTTCCCCAGGCTCTTTACCGGCTTCTTGATAACAGATGGTATGGTCTCTTTGCCTTTCTTAAATCTCAAGCGATCCTGCTTCAGAACTAGTCTCCTGGATTGAGCTGGTCTAAACTCCATTCTGACTGCTTTGGTGAGTTCTACCACCAGTCTTATATAATTTAGTTAATTGGCATTAGTTAAATCAGTTTTCACTTTGATATTAAAGAGTTGTTTTTTTTTGTCAAAAAAGCCAAATTGTATTGACCATGATTTCATGTATAAAAAAAAAAGGGGTGAAACATCCAAGGGGGGTGAATACTTATTTATATATTTCCTGTGTTTCATCACATTTTTTTAAAGTTATGTGATCAAAGCGATTCTGACGTAAGTTGATTTAACTTTTTGCTATTTAAAATAAGCTGCAGATGAAATCTAATTGTTTTGACAGTGTTTAGAGTTTAAGTTTTAGTTAAAGTAGTGAAATGCTACATTAGTATGTAAGACCCCCCAGTCACCATGCACCTTTCTGGTTGATTGTTTGTAAGTTAGATTTTATCAAGACACTGGACAGCCCCTTCAGCCCCTTATATGAAATTAAAGGAAAGCTAACAACACCAGGCAAGACAAGTTTATTTTTAAAACATAGGTCTATAATCCCCTTGCCTTGAAGCAGCTACTTGTATATTTTATCTGTAATTTGCACCTATTAAAGTGATTTCACACCATAGATGTATGGAGGAAGGACCCTGACATAATAACACATAAATACAGAAAAAAATAAATGCTCAATAAATAAATAAACATCCTATTAAATGCTCAAAAATACTGGAAATGAATAAATGTAGGCATTGATTAAACTATACAATGAGACATAAATATAAATGTATATATCTATTTTAATTGGCTTCTTTATTTATTCACCTTTGTAATATTACTTTTTTAATTTATTGTCCTTTATAATCTTCAACTTTATTTATTAATTAATTATTTTTTTTAAATGTATTTAATTATGTTTCAGTTTTAATATTTGTTTTTGTTTTATTCTTCCTTTGTATTTTCTACCCTATTTATTTCCCCAATGATATTTATTTATGTCTTCTCTTTTTCCATTTCTCAATCCATTTCTGACTCATTATGCAAATGAGAGGGGCAGTGTCTCAAGGGATCAACTTCTCACCTATTGGTTAATGTTATGTCCCACTTTGTGTGGGGGAAAGAGACGTACACATAAACCAGTTGTTCTTGGTAAGGAAGTTGTTTAATTTCAGGAGAGGAAAATAGGCTACACTGTTAGCCTGAATATCATATGTAATTAAACAATTAAGTATACTGTACATAAATGATTTAAGTTTGATAGCATTACTGGCAAATGTAAGTAAATTCTAATGTGTAGTTGAAAATACCTCCATTTTATAGTAATTCAGTGTGTGGATAAGTAAAATGGAGGTACATTTTTAAGTTTTACTTATGGTTTTCTGCCAAATGTGTTATTTGAAACAGTTTTATTGTCCAAAATATTACATATCCGGTACATTACAGTAGGTGGCGCTGTTTGGTAGTCCGCCAACCAACAAAGAAGACACTTTGCCTGCCTTTAATGTTGATGGTGTAGAAGAGTGACACTGGGACGGTCTAACTGGTAAGTTACAGTTAACGTTACTTGACGGCAGGCTAATAAAAAGACAATTTTCCCAGCCGTACGATAAGGCACCCACGAGGCAATTTTCTTAGGCTTACTTAGCAAACGGTAAATATTACTCATAACCAAGCTAACCAGCCACAGAAACAGGCAGACAGGCACATTTAAAGCATAAAGCGTATCTTATAAAAACATTTAAACATGGATTTTGGGAACGGGAGATTATGTCATTCTGTGTTTCTGTAAAAATAGCAGAAAACGCATCTTTGATACTCCGTTGTCTTTATTTGCCTTTTTGGCATTGAAGTAAACCAAAATTAACAAACAGTAATCAGATTACAATACTTTTATTTTGTGGTACTTGGATTACGTTACTGATTACATTTTTAAACAAGTAATTAGTAATTGTACTGGATTACATTTTAAAAGTAACCCTCCCAACCCTGCACACACTACCCTCCCGTACGTCACATTTCCACCATGGAAAAGGTTGGTTAATTTGACACATTCAGCTTGGCTCTGTATTTTTGTGCATTTAATGGGATATTCATTTCTGTATTTATTTTCGATTATGCCCTCCTTATCCTCTATAAGGCATCTTACCCCAGTTGAAAATGCCTTTTCCATAATTTTCGATAACATATTAAATACAAATCAACTTGTCAGGAATTTATTTTACTTTATAATATGTTACACTAAGCTTCTAACCATCTCCAAGATACAGAAAACTACCAATAAATAATAGTTTGGAGGGGGGGCATATATAAGAAATATATTCTTGTTAATCTCTCACTCAATGTACAAACGTCTGACACAAACTGAATGCAGCACCCCCCCACAACAGCTACACAGCAGGAATAAGAAGTCCGGTTTGAGTTTCAGCAACAGCTGCAACTCTGCCGTCATGGCTGCTTTAAGGTCTGCTTCATTCCTGGCTTTGTTCGCATGTTCATGGATCTTTGTTCTGTGTCAAGGTAAGAGGAGGGTATGTTTCACACAGAGATGGGGACTCGAGTTTGAGACTTGTGCTGTGTCTGAATTTGCGCACTTCCATATTTAAACTTACTATTTTGAGAGCATAAGTGTGTTCACACTGAAAAGAACGTGGGTTAAGTACTGTAACCCGGATTCTATGAGTATAAGCGCAGCCCTCTAAGGCAATCGCTATTCGGTTTACCCGCGCGCCTGCATGGCACTGAGAATTTTAGGCTGTGTTCAAAACGGAAGGCAGTTGCCTCGCTGAATCGATACCGTAATAGACAGCTGCCTCAGAAGGCATCACTTTCAAGTGAAGGCAGCTCTGTTTACATTAGTTTCCCGCAGGTAGAAACAGACAAAAGAGCATGGGGACGATCAGGAGGCCGCCGTGCAGATGTCGTCCATCAGGAGGAGACGTCTCTCATGGAGTGCGCTCTGATGCCATCTGGGGGAGACTCCCCGGCACAGCCTGGGAAATGGCATCACACAGCCAGTGAGACAGGCGCTGCGCCGACAGGGGAAGTCCCTTGGACCGCTCCCTGTAGTGAACAAACAGAAACTGCGAACGGCGCCAGGTGGCCGCGCGCCACTTAGCAGGACAGCGCTCGAACTGGGCAGAGGAGGTGGGACGTGGCGTCCTCTGCCGACCCATGGGGGGGAGGAAAAAAGCCAGAGAGGGTGATGACCCGCGACCGAAAGGAGCTCGTAATGCTTTTAGGCATGAACGTCGGGTTAGGGCGCAGGATAGCCAAGCTGCCGATGTTGGCCGATGTCAGGGCCAGGAGCAAGGCGACCTTAGCCGAAAGGAATCTCAGGTCTGCCCGTCTCCAAAGGCTCAAACGGGGCTTGGGTTAACGTGCATAAAACCAGCGCCAAATCCCACTGTGGGACAACAGGCCGCGTCACCGCCCTGTGCCTTCGCACCCCTCCAAGGAAGCGCTTCACCAGGGGGTGGGAGAACACAGTCCTGTCCCCGAAGCCCTCATGACAGGACGAAATGGCGGCAGTGTAGGTTTTAACCGTAACGCCAGCCCCCTGTCCATGAGCAGCTGGAGGACAGGCGACCGGGTGGCGACCAGAATCACCGCCAAGGATGAAAACTGCAGGCGATCCAGAAGGCGCAGGATCATCCGCACCGGCGGGAAGGCATACAGCAGCCTGGGGGGCCACAGGGAGTGAGCGAAGGCGTCCACTCCCAGCGAGGGAACGTCCTGCGGGCTCAGTGAAAACCACCGGGTGCACTGAGCGTTCTCCTTGTCGGCAAACAGATCTGGGTCACCAGATCGGGATGGACGCTACTTGTCTGGGAGAGGGCCTCCCCTCGACATGATATCCGCCCCTCTGTTCAACACGGCAGGGATGTACTCTGCTCTGATGGAGAGAAGGTGAGTGCGCGCCCACAGGGCCAGACCCAGTAGCTGCGCCGAGCGCAGTAGGCAGCTGTGGCCCTTTTCTCGCGATGACGCGATGAGGGCAACGTTGTTGGTGGAGGCGGAGTTCTGGAAGGCGCACTGGTGGGTTCTGTCGGCGATTCGGCCCAACCACAGTGCTGCCTGGGAGGCCAGGACGGGGCGCCGTCTGGGCGCCACCTGGCCTGGCTTAACCCCGAAGAAGGTGGTGAGGAAAGGTTCTAGGGGAGGGACTGGGGGAAACCGGGGATGGAGACTGGGGCCCAGAGAAATTGCCCTCTTGGTACCGCTAAATCAGGGGGAAGCGCGGCCAGACCAGATCTCGCTTAGCCGGCTGGGTTTGAAATGCTGCTGAGTTCACATGTGCTGTTTTATAGAGACCTGATCTCTGCTGCTTCCATCAAAAGATGTTTGAACAACAGGAAACATTACAAGTCCTGACTGGAGGCTTTTCTCTTTCTGTTCAGAGACACAGGAGGTGACGGAGACAGTGAAGCCTGGAGAGGACGCCATTCTCGTGTGTCGGGATGGCAGAGTTGCAGCATCTAAAATGATCGAGTGGAGCAGATCTGACATGAAGACAGATGATGATAATGTCTTCTTCTACAGAGACGGCCGCTTATATGAAAACAACCTCTATCCATCTTTTTATGGTCGAGTGAAGCTGAGAGATCCAGAGATGAAGGACGGAGACGCTTCTGTGATTCTGAAGAACGTCAACATCAACGACACTGGAACATATGAGTGTTGGATTGGAGTGAAAATGAAAAACAAGTCAGGACGGAGAAAGAGAGACTCACGTGAACTCATCAACACCATCAAGCTGACAGTGACAGAGCCAGCGTCTTTTTGTCTCTCAGGTGAGTGTGTAGAGCTCAGAGTGTCTCTTTGTCTCTCAGGTGAGCGTGTAGAGCTCAGAGTGTCTCTTTGTCTCTCAGGTGAGCGTGTAGAGCTCAGGGTGTGATAATGTCTGACATTCTGTTCACCTGCTGACAGCTGATACCTCACACCTGTTTCTGCCCTGCAGGTCTCATAGTTGGACATGTTGGACTGTCAGTTATTGCCGTGCTTCTTCTTGTGGTTGCTGTTGGTGGTTTTATGGTCTTTAAAAAACACGCAGGACGCACAGACAAGAGTGAAACAACTCACACAGAAATATTCCTAAACCCATCAGCGTCATCAGGCTGACAGTGACAGATTCAGGTGAGTGTGTAGAGCTCAGAGTGTCTCTTTGTCTCTCAGTTTAAGCTTATCCAGGTAACTTCGGGGTTTTCAGCACCATGACAGTGGTTCACTTCTTACCGGGGTAGCTTATGCTATCACCATGGTAACTTATGCTGAACGGCTAACCTGCTCCGGAGCAGGTTATGTCCCAGATAAGAGATCAACTCTATAAACATTGTCCGCCTACTGACCAATCAGCTCCCTGGAAAATGACATCACCATCTGAGATGTTGTCCAGTCCAGTAACTGGACCACTTTTTACATCTCTCCACATTGTTCTTTACAAATGCCGTAAGATCATTGATCTCAGCTCATAGTAAGCTCATGCAGGTAGAATGTGTCCGACTTGACAGCGTTGTTTTAATTCCCGGCCCCTGTAGTCACCTGCAGCTTACGTTAGACTGGGAAATCGGTGAAAGTCAGCCACGGTCATCTTGAACGCACCTGCTGTCTGACATTCTGTTCACCTGCTCACACCTGATATGTCACACCTGTTTCTGCTCTGCAGGTCACACAGCTGGACACAAGGAGGGAGATGTTTCACAGATAGGTCATGTGCTTGTTATTGTTGGTGTTGGTTTTATTATCCTTAGAAAACATAAAGGATGCACAGAGCATAATTTAAGAGAAAATTCTGTAATGATCTTTATGTCTCATATAACCAGCTGTATGCACGTGTTTCTGCTCAGCTTTCCTGGATTGAGCTTAATTTTTTGTATTTAAAAGAAAAATACATGATACTTAAAAAAAACTTACTTAATAAAAATCAAAACAGATCAAAACAGAAAATAGAAAATAGTCCCCAAAAAGAAGGTCATGATGAGAAACGTGTAGGTCGTCCAGCTTTCCATAGATTTTTCTGTAGCAAAAAATGTTACAGTTCTTAACATTGCATGTTTGCTGTGTATTGAAGTTTATTTTAATGCACTTAAAATGAGGGTATTTGTTATTTGAATTTAAAATACATTTTGATGCGTCTTTGACCATCCCTGTAATACATGTAACAGTTAGATGTTTTTTATTTATTTACAAAACACCCCAACATTTAATCATGTTGTGAAGTTTATTGCAGCTTCAGTTCACTTGTATTTATACATTATGTTTTCGTCCATTGTTGCTCACCTCACACGTTTTCTCCCACCGTTTATTATTAAAGTAATAAATACGGAGCGTTACATCATGATGCAGAGCTGCACTGAAAAGGCAGAAAAGGCAGATGCATGCTGTGTTTAACTCTGAGGTGCAGTGAGTGTTTAAGAGGAGAGATTTAAAAGCATTCACTTTCAAGAGTGTCATTAAATGAAACCCCGTAGCGGCCGTGTGCTCGGGCATGTTGACTGGTGTAACACGGACACTGAGATGCTCTATGATGCTTGTCATCATAGCAACAGATCATCAGACTGTGATGAGTTTTGCAGCTTCAGTAATATCTGCTGGCTTCCCTTCGACACACAGCTCCACTGTTCACCTGAGAAAATGTCTCCTGAGTGTTGATGGGCTTTTAATCGTGACTTGTAACCAATCAGATGGAGCCGTGGGCGGGACATTAAGCAAGACTCCAGAGTGGAGATTGCAGACAGACAGACAGAGAGAGCATTGATCACTCTGAGGGGGGGATCAATTTTGTCTCAGGCAGGGATATTGTTGAGAATTATTTTAGAGCATTATAGCCTAAATTGTTATCATTAATTACTAGAGCGATGGTGGTCTACATTGTCGTCATTTAAAGTGTTATTTTACAGTGTAAAGTTAAGATCACAGTGTTAAAACTCTACAGCTCTGAGTGTGTGTGCTCCTTTCTGTATCTAACTGCCAAGACTGCAGAATGAGCACAGCGAGGCATCATCATCAAAAACACCAGCAAAGGAAAATGTAGAAGCAGAATTAGTGACAATTGTGTTACAAAACGTACATAAATACAGCAGGAATGTCTTGTCTTTAGCACACAGCACAAAAGACACTAGCTTATCCCCCAAAGTCAATAAACAGTCATCATTTGATTATCTTTAAACAGTAGTAATCATTAATCGTTCTTAAGTCATAATTTTTAATCATTTTAATATCCTTAATTAGCATTAATCATTCATCATTCTTAGTCAGTTTATTAATTATACTTATTTATTTCTTAATCTTTGTACATTACCTAGATGTGCCTTGTTTTCTACTTAGAAGTGCTGTACTGTAGTCATAAAAGCAGAAACGAGCTCACTGTGGTTAAGATCCTTACAGACACTGAGACTATGCACGCCTTGTTCAACTTTTATCTACTATAGATTTATGACAGCAGAAGAGGCTGCAGGTGTTCAAAATCTGCTGTAACAAGTGCATGTTTAGGTCATTTACTGCTGTTATGACTGCATGAGGAGTCAGTCTGCTTATATTATTATATTAAGACTGCATGTTTAATTACCAACTAAGACTACATGCATAATTACTGATTAATTAATGCTTAATTAATCAACTTCTAACCTCTGATGCTTATGGCCTGTTTGAGCTTTGAGTGAACTTGCTGAAGGAATTTTTGCTTAACGCTTTCAAGACAGATAGTGGATGTGCATTTTCACTACAGAGAGATGATAAGCAGAAAGCAGAAAACAGCCAGCATAACATCAAGATTACAGAAGATACAGCATTGCATATGTTGTATTCTTATATTAATTGTTTAAAAAATATAATTGTGTCAAATTAAGCATACATGACTTTTAATAGATACGGTGAGACTGAAGGTGAAATGTAGATGGTGAACTTCTTATTCAGTAGTATAAAGATATAGAAAGTTAATAAATGACAGCTGGAGAACAGTGTTCATTGGTAAAACAACACATGTAAACAGCAGAACTGCAGGCGAAAAGAAGTTCATCATAAGGAAAGGAGGTGGCAAACCAGCCCAGAGGGGATATATAAGACTGTCTGCAGACCACAGGGTTGACTTCATCCTCCAGCCTGCTGGGATGTTGTACGGGTTTATCTGTCCTGTTTTGGAATAAACTCTTTGCACCGACTCTTGACCGTCTCCAGAGAAGTTTTTGATTGCAAATTTATTGACTATAATAGAAAGCTAATGGAGTATTTTTGACAAAGTTTATAAAGCTGGTGAAGGTGGGGACCAGGCTTAACACACATCTGACCCAACAGTATAAACCACAAAGGGGGAAATCCCACGTATCCCCCCAGCAAATGACACCCTGTATGTACTGGATGTATATGTAGCTACTATTTATTGATAAAAATGTAAATTGTTCTTTATTGTGGATGTGTTTAAATTTCCTGACTTTGTCTCAAAAGAAAAGAGGTTACTGTAATCCACAACACATTGTACCTGAACCGTGTGATGTTTCTGGCAGCCGTCCACTGTTGACACACATTGCTATATCTTGGTGGTATTATGCTCATTTTCAGGTTAAAAATACTATTTATGGTTTGATATTAAAAAACCCAACACCATATTTTTTGTCATGCTGCACATTGCTGCAGCTCCTCTTTTCACCCTGTGTGTTGAAGGCTTCGTTTTAGCTACGGAGTGACGCATCTTGCCTCTAAATGATCTGATGATTAGCTAAATGTAACTAAATTCACCCACAGATGTCAGATTAATACCTAAGTAATTTGGCCACCAGTTGTTCACCAGAAACAGCCAGAGTTGTTGATGCCGGATCTGAAACACAGGACGCCTGAGCAACCAGGCAGCGCTCCAGGCATCAGGTTACACACATGTAAGCGTTTTGTCCTCAGAGTTCATCTCCAGCTGTTTAAGCTGTAACTCAGTCCAGTCTGACTTCAAATAAAAGTTATTTGTTGAGTTTTGAACAGCGTCCTGCTTCTTGATAGATGAAACCCAGAGTCAATAAAACCTGATAAAAACAGGATTATTTTTTTCTCTTTTTTTATTTATTTAAAAGGGTCATTGCATATTGATGGACATCTTAGCTTTTCAGCAATGTAAATATGCCAGAATTGGCCCAAAGGCAATTTTACATCTGCAGTCCCCCGTCAGGTCATCACAGTGCAAGGTAACACAGCTAAACACTGAAATTGGATACGATACATCACAATTTAAGAGATGCCACAATTTTCAACAACATATTATAAAAGACACCACAGTTAGCAGACAGGGATGATGTAATTTAAGGTGCTGTTTATGCAGTAAAGTGCCATTCTATGAAATAATGTTCAATTTAATTTTGTTTGAGAGCTGTTTAGAGCAGGGGGTGCTGCCCTCACTTCCTTTTACTGTGACTCTGTAGCTGAGAGAGGAAAGTGAACTCTGCTGGCTCAAACTGTCTGTCTGGGTCTGTCCCTGTAATCAGAGAACAGCATGTGGGACTTTCAGAGGGCAGAGTTTGGTATGAAGCAGCTCTGAGCTCATTTTAACTTGAAACGATTTATTTTTATAGTTATTTTAATAAATAGTGTTGTACTTGTATCATTGTTGGGCAAGTTACTCAGAAACTGTTATATTACTAGTTACTAATTACTCCTTAAAAATAATTATCCAAATTATAGGCCAGTTAAGGGAAATACTGCTTTCACTACCACCCCCTTCACCACCAAACAAAGCAGCCTCTCCCGACTTTTTAACTAACATCATATCCATAACAGCAGCAAGGAGTGTGGTTTTTACAGAGCATACAGCCTAGGCCTAACGTTTTGAACAGCGGTTTTACTGCACATGTAGCCTGTTTACGAGAGCAGTATTCAGTAGTTACAAAACATTACGTTAACGCCACTCTCTCCAGATGAGTCCAAGCATCACTGACAGCAGCTGCCGGAGTTTCTTTCTGTAAGTTTCATGTCGCTGTGCTGCTTCTGCAGATGCTTCAATAAATGAGATGTAGAAATGTTGAAAGCTTTTTGCTGGTCAGAGTTTACACTAGACGACAATGTTCTTTTCATCTTAGACTGTGACACAATGATGGCAGTAGCTACTTCCAGCTGAGGAACGAACGCCTCTCTCCTCATTCTCCATTCTTGGTTTAGTGTTTGGCTAACAGTGGACATGAACAACAAAGTCCGGTCCAGCTGACCTGCAGCAGTCGAGGATGGTGCGTTCAGTAACGCAGCTACTTGGATAAATAACTGTAAAAATATAACTGTTTTAGAAAAGTAATTAGTTACATTACTAGTTACTGGGCAAAAATATTATTACAGACATTCAAGAAACTTTTGTGACACCTGCCTTTTAAGTTTGTATTGGCACCACTGCACTGAACAAGACCATGTCAGGCAAGTGTGAGTCAGCCAGAGTGCTAAAATAGTTCAATATAATCAAAATCTACAATGCAGTCTCATAAAATGGAGCTCTGATAGGCCTCTCCCTGGCTCAGCTCTCCTGTGCTGGACCCTGACTCTGCTTGTACTGATTGTGCAGCTACATATGAATGTGAAGAACATCAGTAATAAATATGACTAACAATAATCCATTTCTAATTCTATCTATGGATAATTGCCGACCCAGCCCTGCACAGGCCCCTGTACCTGTCAATGTTTCTGGTTCCATTGTCCTCCTCCTCCTGCTGCTGTTCCTCCTCCTCTTCCTTCTTCCTTCACATGCGAATACATAAATGCATATATAAATAATCTCAGGTTATAAATGCATTATTTATCAGTGCCTCTGCTGGGTCCTGCCTCATGTGTGCACGCCACAGCACCTCTTTCCACCAAGGATGAGGTCGCTTAATATGGCGCACTTAGCTGCCTCTTGCCTCTCTTTTCTTCTAAAATTCTTATTCTTTTTCCTCTTTCTTTCTTTCTATCCCACATATTTACCTTCTCTGTTGTGCTTGTCACACAACCCTGGCCTGAGATCAGCCCTGACAAAACGTATTGAGATTAAACTCGTCCTTGATGGAAAGTAAACTTCTTAGATCGGCGCCATTGAGCAGTCAGATTTCAGCAAAAAGGAGGCCAGACCTTGGACCCCTCTATGGACCCCCTCTGAGCAAAAATAATATAGGAAGCTATAGGCGGAACAAATGTGTATCAACTAGTCAGATCCTTTAGGACGTTACGCCGCCACTGTCCATGTCGTGCCAAAGTAGTTATCCCTGATAGAACGTGCTCTCCCTGCCGCGAGAGCGCACATGGATTCAACGGTGAAGGTGGACTTTCGACTTCACGAAAGTATATGAGAAATACATGTGGATTGTTTCATCTATCGTTTTAGTATTGTTTTGTCAATGAAGTTTATGCAGAGCAAGTTAGGACGCAGATTATAAGAACGCTCTTATAGGCTAACGTTAACGTCACGTGTTATTTAACTTCCAATTATTCATTGCACTGAATTGAGAATGTCTAAACAAAACGAGCAGTTTCAGTTTCCCTCCTAAAGCAAACATTTATTTTAGTGCATCACTTAGTCATCCATGTTCCTGTTTTGAAGCTATATCTAGACAGGCTGTCACATTTTTCATGAGTTGTCCTTGTAATCCATGTTTCCATGCACAGACAGCCTTGGAAATTGCTGGAAATTCTCCCCTCCTTAAAGGGCAAATTGTTGTCATAACAATTTAATAATGCATTGCATTAAACAACACTTTGCATACATGAAAGCGATAACAGTGGCTTACTGGTCCTACCAGGCGGACACGCACTCTGCCAAAACATGTATCCCCCTCCATAACGCACAAA